CTCCCAACTTTTTAGCCCTTCAAAATGGAAAAATCTGACCTTTTTTTTCTTTAAATTTGTTCAAAATTTTACGCTTAATCAGGTCCCAACATCGTTTTAGGCAGTTTTTGCCATTTAATATCAGAATTTTGGCCCTAAACAGCTGAAATGTCCTGTACCGTAGCCTGTCTGCGACTCAAGTGCGCAACTTTAACGCTTCATAACCATCATCTTGCATCTAAATACTTCCATTTCTGCTGTAAATTCACACTCAACTTGTACCTAACTTATTATTTTCAGTTATATTCATCCAAATAAGTGAAAATATTGACCGTCTTTGCGTCAAGCAGCCTTGTCTGCGGAATTCGCGTCCTGTACCGTAGCCCCCTTTTTTCAGCATCATTTCGTCCGTTAGAGTGCAGCACTTATGAACTTTGTTTACTTTTTTTGCGTTATCGTGACTATCACACGCTGATGTCAGGCAGAGGAAAAAAACCCGCAATGAAACAGTAAATTTTGACCGTTTTTTATGAGTTTCTAGGTTTAACGACCATCTAGGATGTCCTTACCGTATACCTACCTTTTTAATGCATAAATCACTTCAAACTCTCGAATTTTGGTATTTTTTGATACGTTCTGATATCTTAACCTCAAATCCAGAATTTTAACCACATGCGTGAATCACAGATTAGTCCAGATCGCTAACATCGGCGGAAGAGCGTGAGTAGCTTTGTGAGCGCCGTTGGCGGGAAAATCCATGGGCATTTAAAACTAGGAACCAAAACTGAAATTTTGGCTATTTTCAGCAGATTTTCGGCGGGAGAATACTTCTTTTTCAGATTTTTGTGGGATGAAACGTTCCTAAGAATTCAAGAATTAGTTTCTCAGTAGAATTTATGTGGTTCAATATTTCCAGATTAAATAATTAAGGTGGAAATAAATAAAGAAGGAGAATGAATTAAAATACGAGTAAACAAGGCTAAAAATTATTGAAACACTAAAAGGTAAGACGTTTCGAGCTGCTTCCAGCTCATTTTCAGCTGCAAAAGCACATAAAAACAAGTAAAAAATTGAGTGGCGACCTGACCTCAGCCGTTATCACGTAACCACTCATAATAACGGCTGGGGTCAGGTCGCCACTCAATTTTTTACTTGTTTTTATGTGTTTTTGCAGCTGAAAATGAGCTGGTAGCAGCTCGAAACGTCCTGCCTTTAAGTGTTTCAATAATTTTTAGCCTTGTTTACCCGTATTTTAATTAATTCTCCTTCTTTATTCGTATAATCGGGCTATGTTTTTGTGCTTTATCGGTGGAAATAAACAAATCAGAGTTCATCAGTATACTGAGTAGATAACATTATTGAAAAAATTTGCAGATTATAATATATCATATTTTTGAAGTTTAAAGCCTTAGAAACCGAAAATTAAAGCAAAATCCTGCGAAAATGAGACTTTTGGTTCCTAGTTTTGAATTCCCGCCAGGCCCCCATGAGAGCAGTTAATTGCTACCAACTGTTGTAAGAATATTGAAACAGAATACTTAGCATAACAGTACTTGATAAAATCTTATTTGATCAAAAACCATTATTATACATTACTATCTATACTTTATTAAAGCTTTATAATCAGAATCAAGAGGAAATTTCTCTCAATCCGGTCAAGTCCTTTCACTACTGGTAGTGCCATCAATTTTCTAAAGTTGCCTAACCTGTAGCAAAATTACTCACGCTTCTGAAGCAGAGACAAGAGACCCTCCACTAGTAACTTGGCCATGGTGGAAGCTTTTACTTTCGGGACTTCAGCATTCTACTGTTGACTTACCTACATGGTTGATGTTCAACAACGTGTTGGCAGTTTCGTTTCGCAAACAAGCCGAAAATGGCCGACGTTTGGGAAAGTTGTTTGGCTTATGACGTCATCCGAAGCTCATCATCGACCATGTAGGTAAGTCAACAGCCGAAAATAGGGTGATGACTGTTGCTCGCTCATAATTGTCCATAAGGAATTGTTGAAACCCCGAAAGTAAAAGCTTCCACCTGTCGCTAGGAGGCCAGTGGAGGGTCTTTCTGTTCTGAAGCGTCCAGCCCACATACAAACTAGAGGCTTCAAAGAGACTCATCGATGCCTTTCCTGGCCCTCTCATTGGCCAGCGGTTTAAGTCGGGGCAATCGATGAGTCTCTTTGAAGCCTCTAGTTTGTATGTGGGCTGGACGCTTAAAGCATTGGCTAAGTTGGATGTTAGCGATCTGGACTAATCTGTGGCGTGAATATGCCCGAGCACCGTTGCCAATAATCACACGATTTGTCCGCACCGTAGCCGTCCGGTATCGTAGCCCGTAGCTGACGCGCGATGCGGCCGGGTCTACGGTAAGTACGGACAAAATGCGAAAGTCATCCAAAAATCGGTGCGCTGTTTGATAGATCATCCCCCTTTACTTTATTTTATCTATCACCAAAATTTGGAATTTAAAAAAAAAAAGAGAGACGTATTTTTTTTTAGTACGACGCGACTTAGAAGAAGGAGGCTTTTTTTTCGATGATTGCATAAGGATCGCCATCTTTTTATTTTTTTCATTTTTTCTTTTAGAACTTTGAGTCCTCTTTTTCGTCTGAAGTTCATAGCAATTTATTCGTTTAATATTTATTCGTTAATATCTAACTTATTTTTTTCTTATTGTCCGTTAAATATTTATTTAAGGTGATTTGTGACCACATTTTCGATAAATTTACCTTTTTGTTTTCTTTCTTATTTTGTAAAAGTGCATCTAAAACGTTCTAACGTTGTCAAGCTTGTTTTAAGAACTCAGCTTCTAAGATTTGTCCCTAATTATTTAATGCGTTTACTTTAAAATAAAAGCAGTTCATTATTTTTGAAAAACTGATTTACTTACTCTTTTTACCTTTATTGCCTGTAATTATTTATAAAAGTGGCACTTCTAAGCTATGCTATAACTTAGCAGTTTATTCCCCAATGAATTTCAGTTCTAAAATAATTAGGCCCTTGCATACAGTAATATTTACGAATGCCTCTTCGTCCTTACCGTAGCCCGTTTGTCCGCACCGTAACGTTATTGTCCTGTACCGTAGACCAGTAAAAAATTGTACAATTTGTAGCTTTAAAAAGAGCAAACCTGTAGAAATTCTTTAAAAAAGTTGTCTACCACATCTTCTAAGTTAGTTCTAAAGAAATTAATTAAAATTAAGCGTTTAATTACATTTCCTGGCTTTTTTAGGAGAAAAATGATGGCGCAAAATTCTAGAAATCGGACTTTAGAGCAATTTGGGGGCTAAATTTTGAAAGTAAAAACTTTGAAGGATATTTTGTTTTATTCTTCTACAAGAATATAGCTCTATGAGTGCAAAAGAACTTAAAACGGTATTATTATCGCACGTATTGATAGGAAAACAAGCCTGTTTAGTTGGTCTACGGTACGGACAAAAAATTTAACTTCCAGTGATAAAAGAGGCCAAAAAAAAATTTCTGTTGAAAACGAAGATTGACCACTATCAAAATCGACTTTCAAAGAGTATGAGGACTTCAGAAAACATGCTGAAGTTTTAAAATAACTAAAGTCACTTTTTTAAAAAACGATGGCTCCAAGAGCAAAACTTATTTGATTCTACTCACCCCTTAAACTTTAAAATTTGTTGACATAAACATAAAAATTCGCAGTTTTTGTCAAATATTTTATGTCCGACCTTTCTGATTGACTTGATCCAATGTGCGGCATTCTGAATTACCTTCCAAGAGAATCTATTATGAGTCTTTTTAGCCCGTAATATGGGATGTATGGGATTAAGAAACCGTCAAATCTTTTTTTTTTTTTTTTTTTTTTTTTTTTTTTTTTTTAAATAAAAATTAAAATAAAATTAATTCGGCCCCCCAGATCGTTAACACAGAGCGAAAATGTATCATGATTTACGCCAAGGGTTTGTTGCCTAAGGAAATAATTCGTTTCAATCGGAGCCACAATATGTAAATTGCCGTTATTTTTCCAATTTTCCCCCGTGATAAAAATTGAACTTTTATTAATGCAACACTCATAGAAAGAGAATTAAACTAACCCAGACGTAACGTTCCTCCTATTAATTTTAATTCTTAGACTTACGGAGCTTTTGTAACTTTTCCGATACTAATATGCAAATAAATACTTCATAATACGTATAACAAAACTTTAAAGTTGTTAACTTTAGTATTTGTTGCTATGGATGAGGGTTTTCACAAAGAGATCAAAGGCCCTCGTTCTTCCGCAAAGCATCAGTATTTTTTTTTTTATTGATTGCTATATTTTTCAAGTGAAACGTTTAAAAATGTGAACGATGGAAGCTCTATGCAATACAATGGCTAACGAAACAAACAATACTGCCTATCTAAAAAATGACGATTTTGCAGTGCGAAGAGAAAACTTTGCCATTTTTGTAATTTTTAGGTAAGATTTGCAATTTTTTTATATGTATATTACAGCGTCGTTGCAGCGCTCTCCTACAGAATGGGAAAAAACTAAATCGACGGTGTAAGTCGGCAATCACACAACTCGTTTGCGGTGTCTGAAAATCTCCGCCTCTATGTAATTTTTTTAAAGAAGAACAAATTGGCATCATTCCTTGAAGTTTTTGCAGAATTTTCTTCGCACAGAGAAGAAAATTCAAGGCAGTTTTAAAGAATTGCCGCTACGAGTAGTTTTCAGTTTAAAAATTAAAGTATGACAGGAAGTTTGCGACGTCGCAAACCGAGTTATGTGATTGCCGACTTACACCGTCGAAATCATCATCTTGCGTTTTTTATACTGTAGAATGCAGCAAAATTGCTATCTAACTCATTTTTGCCAAACTTGTCGGTTTCGTTCGCCCTCGAATATCAGTGAGGAGAAGGTGCAATCAGTTACGACTAGCGATGGAAGATTAAAAATTAACCTCCATTTTTCAACATGAGAAAAATTTAGTCTCAATATTTTGGCTTAAACCTTAAAAATATAAAACATTTTAATATTTCACAACGCTAAAAGTACAATAAAAATAGAGGTTTACAAATTGAATAAAACTCTTTATTGTCGAATGAATTTCAAATACTTATTGATATTTTTTAGATAAAAATGGTATGCTACACAATACAATAATCGCTTATAAACTATGTTAGTCTTTTGCCAAGGAAATTGCATAAAATATCGGATGACTATCACTTCTCAGTCCTTTAGTTAGTGTTCTGTCTAATGAAATACTTTAATATGTATCAGATATATAATTAATTTCAAAACACAGTAAAATATCGTTGAATGAAGTAAATTAGTAGGTGCAAGTCAATTTGATTTTACGTTCTCAAATCGTCTGCTATAAATAAAGGGAATCTTTTCGTCACAAGCCGACTAAAAAACACAGGAATTTTAATTAATTGAATGGATTTGCCTACGGTTAAAATCAAAATTAAGTGTCATGCTCATGACTTCTCTTTTTTTTAAAAAAAGAAAATTGTGTCATCTTTCATTCAAATTAATTTAAAGGCATAAACCTACTGAAAAGAATTACTGAGAATTTACTGAAAATGACTAGTGATAACACATATAGGGTAACGAGAGATTTCCCCGGAAAAAAATGACTAAAAATGACTAACCATGAATCCTAAAAGCTATCAGGTTATTTCCGCTGAATAAATTAGCTTCAAAATGACTCCCAGACACATAGTTATTCCTCTCTTTTATAATAAAATCAACCGGGGACATAGATACCCTTAAAAATGTTTAAAAATCATCATCACTATTTTTTGCCAACAAAAGTAGACTCGATCATTGAGATTTTACCTGTCTAATAATACCGTGTGTACAGATCACCTAACAAGCTAGTTTGCTGACATCAATGCTGATTGCAATCGCCTTTGCAGTTGCAGCAAAAAGGGATGCAATTGTTTCCGCTACGCCCTTTGCTGATCGATAAGCGAACAGGAGGTGGAGCAATTTCATGGCGGAAGTTGTGGGTTTTGGAGAAGGATAGTTGCAAACGTGATGTGGTTTTCTTTGTCACGGATAGTTGCCTCGTTGATTGGACGCAGCAGTTTGAATCTAGATGACGTCAGCCTGGAACAAATAGAATGAGCTTGGTAGAGGAAAAATTGAGGTAGGGAAGGGCATGTTTCAAAAATTCAAGCGGGTTTCAGGATTTTTGTCTCGCAATCACTTTCATGGATTACGCATTGAAATTTTTCCAAGTAATTGGATTTTTTCCTTATTTTTAAAATGTTTATCTTATGATGAATGACAAATCGATTATGAAAAATTCGTTTATTTTTCACAATAAGTACTTATATAAGTCATTAAAGAATATTTTTTCAGTTTTGTAGCACAGTAAAGAGGTACGTGCTGCGAACTTCCGTCCTCTCTACGAAATTTGACTCAAATAAACGACTTAAATTTTGGGAATCAATACCTAGAGAGTATATATTAAAATAACTCCAACATATTTTAATTTTAAAATACGTCAAATAAATATTTGAAAAGTTTTGGTTACATTGAAAAGATGGGCACGCATTCCTGCTTGTTTCGAAAAGTGCTGAGCTCCTAACGTTTAGAAACGCTCGTATTGTATTATTGGAGGACCGAAAATTTTCATATTTTTGGCCAAGGGGCTTTTCTGGAAACGGAGTAAAATGCGCCATAAATATTTTTCATTCACAGAAAAATTTTGGTTGAATTAAGTTTTATCCGCTTTCTCGATTGTTTCTTTCAAAGTTGGGCAGTTTTCAAAACAAGCTGATCTCCGAGAATCAGGATAATTTTGCGATCTATTGAAAATCTTTCTAAACTACGTACCAACATTGATATTACGTGAAATGACTTACTTGCCTTAAAAGCTTGCTCTGGACACCTAATACTAATTGCAGTAGTTTCCCTCGCAGTTGCAGCAAAATGCATTGCAGTTCTTCCCGCAGCACCCATAGCCAAGGTTCGGGGTACCATGAGTGCGTTGGCAGACGCCGGTGTGGAGGTCTTTAATGCAGCAAATAGCCTCCAAGGCATTGAAGTTGCAGATGAACGCAATCAGAGCGAAGAAGAAGTAGAACAATTTCATGATTGATGAGTGATTGGAGGATCGATGGAGTTAGTTACAGAGCCTCGAGAGGACCTTTGTTGAGAACCTACATAAACTGAAAGACAAAAAGGTTAAAAAAGGGCATTCGGCTAGGCAGAAAAATACAATGGTTTGAGGTACAAAAAAAATTCTAAGCATTTTTGCAGAAGTTGCTGAGATTGAGCACCTATCCCTCAGTAAAGAGATCAGAGCGCCTCATGCTATAGAAAAAAATAAAATGTACAGCTGTTAAAGATACTGCGTTACAGTTAAACCTATTTTTTTTCTTTCCATGTCAGCGAAAATATGAAAAATATGGACCAAGTTTAACAGAATCATACCAAATCGCTTCACGTTTGAGCGGAGAAGAAGAAAGTTGAGGTTTCATTCCTTCATGAGACTCACCGTTGCGGACATAGTTTCACACTTAAAATATATTTTTCGACCAAAAATGTACAGTAGGGAAAATTTGCAAACAATTGAATTCAAATATACTCTCAAAGCATTTTTTCCAAATGCAGCTTGACGCGACTCTGTTAAATTGCATCCAAATACGTCATTTTTTATTCTCTTGGGAGCCAATTAACCACCCTAGCAACTTTCTACCTTTAAAGGAAAATATAGTCTCTAACGAATCATGAATATATCATTAACTATCTTAATCCTGAAGAATGAAACCAATATGCGTACACTGGAAAAAAACACATTGGATCTAGAGTCCAGACTCTTAAAAACATCGACAAGAAAAAATACTCTTGATTCAATCAGATTTAAGCTTAAATCAAGAACCAAGCCTCTTAATTTGAGCGGATTTCCTTTTGATTTAAGCTTAAATGGACTGAGTTAAGCAGAAAGGAACCAACCCACATTTTGGAAAAAATTGAGTTATGAGTGGTTTTGAACTCAACCACTGCTCTACTATCCATCGCCAAAAATTCAAAGTTTTTGTTGGAGCAAATTTTGCAGAAACAGAACTTGAAGTTTATCTTTTACATTGAGTCTTATGCAGGAGCCAAACTTTAAACCTCTTTTTCTCGGTTCGATCCCGATGTGGCTTGGTTCCTTTCTGTTTAACTCCGTCCAAATCTGATTGGATCAAGAGTCCTTTTTCTTGTCGATGTTTTCAAGAGTCTGGACTCTAGATCCAATGTGTTTTTTTTTCCAGTGTACACAAAACATTTAAAATATGTACGTTGTATTCTTTCAATGATGTATGTTAATTGTATGAGATTGTAAAGTCATCTCTTAGTTCTCGAACAGTTTTCAATTAGTCGCTGGAGAGGAGGAGAGTCTGGTTCACCTGCAGTCAGGGGAGATTGGTTATTTTTCTCTAAGAATTGAAAACGCACATCTTTCAAGATGGGATATAAGATTTTGCACCATGGAGAAAATCGAGGAAAACTCATACTGGCTTTTCGAGACCTCTAATCTAAATTCGGTCGTTAGAGCAGAGGTTTTTGAAATCTAAAATTCTCCATATCTTCATTTTGAACTGACATTGCCGTAATAATCATCCGCATTTGAATCAAACGGAACTATCTACATTGTAACATGAGCTCTGCCATGCATGCACTCTCATGGATCTGAGGGATCATGTAAGAATGGATTTTGTTCCTCTTGATTCAAATACGTCCAATTATTTCAGAATCACAGGAGAATATGAACGATGATAAAGAGTAAGTTGTCCTTGCACCGCTCTAACAGACACATGTAAAATTCCAGTAGTGTGCTGTATCGTCGTCTCCTAGACGGAAGTTAGTATATCTCAACTACACATTTGCAAAGTTTACTTATATAGGTACATTTTACTTTTTCACAAAGTAATAACAGCGCAATTCCCTTCAAATATTTCGCCTAATATACTGCTTACAATGCTCGGAAGAATTTGTGAAATTTTCAACAAAAACTACCGAGTATAGTCACAGAGTAAAAATGCAAATTATGAGTCGAAATTGTGTAATGTTGAAATATAGTACGGTCCTTCATCTGGAAAACAACAGAATCACCGCAATATTTGGGAACATTTTCACGCTAACAGTGTAGTCGTCATTTAGATATCTTTGATGTGTGTATTGTATTTGTTGAGGAAAAAAAATGAAAGTATATAGCCAGAAATATAAAATTTTCAAATGGAGATTTGTGATCATTTAATCTCTGAGCAATCAGAAAGTCGAAAAACAAACTTGAAAAAGAAATCGAAATTTTGAAATTTTCATTGACTAGAATAAGAAAATAATTGCACTGCACTTTGCATAAAGGAACTACAGTTTCTGACTCGGCCATGAAATTATTAAAACCTACCTGCATGAGGAAACTGATTGCACTTAAGTAATGACTAAATTTTACAAGAAAATTAACATATCGACATTCAGCAGAACGTAATAAAATGTATACAAATTGAATAAAAACTTACTCACTACAAGTAAATCCAAAATTTTCCTAGCTGAAATTGCCAAATTGTCACCAATCTTGGCTTAAAATGCCTCTAACAAAATCTAAGAAAACACAGAGTTTTGGTTTACTCATAATGAGAAAGTGTATGACTTCATTTTTATCTTTTTATAAAACAAGAAAAGGTGGTAAATATTTACTCTAGCAACTTTTCTCGATGATAACTTTTTCTAATGGGAAGCTCATTACTATCACTCCTTATGGTCAGACTGATGAGAAAGTAGTGGCGAAAATTTGAAGCATGCACGAGAGGCTGGAGGAAAATGCACATAAAATCAGTTTTTGCTATTTTAAAAAGCACGTGTTTAAAGTTTCAAAATTGCATGAAGCCTTACGGCGGAAAGAAAGTGCAAACTCTTTGGATGCTTAAAAATTGGATTTTAATATTGCATTTTTCACAGGATATATTTTCAGACTAGTCTAAGTTTAAATCATTATTAACTCATTTTTATGAATATTTTTATGGTTATAAAAAAAGAACTATAATGATGGTGTTTTTTAAGGCCGCCCCCAAAAGTTTCTTTGAAAATAATTAAACGTACCAAGAAGAACTTACAGAAGTTAAGGTGTGTAGGAACCGCGGTGCGAATTAGGTAGTCTGCGATGTGTCCAGCACGGGATGAAGAACAGGAATGGTAAACTGGAAAAAGAGCGCTCACTCACAATCAGACTCCAAACAGCGATGTTTATCACGATCCGAATTGATAAGCCGAGCCGGCCGATTTGCGGGTTGTTTGTTAAACTTTCATCGAATAACTTTGTGATAGATAGATATTATTGCTGAGATAGGAATTTATCGATCAAAGTCAATCAACGATCCAAAAATGGACCGCGCGCAGAATGGATAGCAGAAAGGAACCAAGCCAAATCAGCTGTTTCCAAATAACTGGGAAATCTATTTTTTTTACTAGAGAACATTTGGGTGAATTCCTTCGAAAGTTTTGAGGAATTTGCTTCGTACTATTCAGAAATTTCACTGTTTGCTGTCACAGAAAATTCACTGTCGAGAACCATGGATGGATAAGAATAAAATCGTTCAAATCAGGCAGGTTGTTCTGTGTGAGCATTTGTTTTTTCTTGACTCGAGAAAAATTTCTTCCCGGTGGCAAATTCTCCTTTAATTGGGTTCCTCCCGGAAGGCGACGGAGTGAACGTCCTGTGAAAGGTTGGCGGTAAAGGGGCGGAAGAGGAGATCAGAAGGTGCCAATTGCCTGATTGTGTCTTGAAGGATATGGGGCAATGGCGATTGGGCGTAGCAGAGAGCGAGCCTGCGCTATAAAAGCGGCTTAATGTATGTATGTAAATTGAATCTTTTCATTTTTTCAGGGTAGAATTTTGCGGTGAAAATTGCAGTAGTGCTTTCAAATCGTTTAGTTGCAAATTAATTAAAAAATTATACATTCTGAGCAGAATTGCTAAGTCCTCAGTCATTTCTACAAAGAATGACTTAATTACCGTTCCCATTCTATCAACTATCCACTGAGCTCCTAGCCTTTAAGCGCCTAACGTATAGGCAACTAAAAATGCTTTCGATGATGCGTGTTGGCATATCGATCGATTTCGGGCGCTTCGTAAGTCGCGGGAATAAAGAGATTCACGAACTCCCTAAACGTCGTAAGTTTTACGCGACGCTTCAAGATCGTGGTATATTGACGGCCAAAGTATGAGACCACGTGCTTCCGTTTGCGACGTTGTAGACTTCCTTTCATACATTATTATTATTTTTTTTATCGAGAAGCTAATCAACGAATTTCTTTGGAAACTTGCTTGAAATCTTTTACAGGACGTCCACGCAGCCTTCGGAGAAAAAAGATACTAAATAATACGTTATAAGCTGAGGTGTTGGCTTCTTTTTCTTGAAAAAAAAAGATAGGATCGGAAATTTTGAAACACCGCGGTGGAGATATGTGGTTTCGCACTTTGGCTATGGATATGACGTGCAGGATTTGAGATCATATGAATTTTGCCTCCAACCCTCGGAGGGCGCTTAGCGCACTCTTAGGCCCGCTTTGACAAAAGAACGACCAAAAAAAAAAATGAATAGATTATCATACCTGACTCTCATTTGTCCAATTTCCCTATGGCCGGGAGCGATTGGACCCATAAGAATCATATGATAAACATCGTCATTTATTTCAAACTTCACGCCAAGACTTTAACGAAACGGAACGAACGGAAAGGAGTGTTTCGTCGCTATTGGATATATAGTCCGTAGCAAAGGAGTGTACCTTCGATTCACTTACTTTACCCTACTGACAGACCAAAATTCAACAATTCCCGCTTTGTTCAATTTTCCGCTAAATTTGAAATTCCCGCAATTTTTCAGTGGCAGAAATTTCAACTTTAACCCCCCTTTCTGAGCTCCCTAATCTACCCTTATATAAAAAAAAAACCTGGGTCATAATTTCAAAATTTGAATATAGCGGATTCATCTAGAGTATATTATCTGTCGATAGCTGCAAAATCATGAAAATCGACCCAGTAGAAAGCTGGAACTAAGCGTTACCAGATATGCAAATTTAGGAGGTCTCGGAGCTTATAGTGTAATGTAATGTGTGTAGTGTAATGTAATGTATAGTGTTGAAATGTAAAAAATCCTCGTCCTTCTCTGTGGCGTGGCATGTTTGGTGATATATCGATTGATCTGTCATTTAAATCTATGGAAAAGGATCAATATACAGGGTGCTCGCACCAAACAAAAATGAAAAGCTTTTCATACCTGACTCTCATTTGTCGGGTCTCTCTGTGGCCGGGAGCGATTGGACCAATATACCGAGCGACACCTCGCATAGGTCGGAGCATTGCGAGTTAGCGGCTCACCGCGCCTTCAATTTTGCAGATGCAACACGGACATCCAGCAACTACGAATAGTTGTATCTCTGCGCCGCACAGTGGTTTTTTAGCGGAAAAAACCCCATTTTCCGAAGATCATTTATTTTCAAAAAAAATGTTATTTTCCAACACTTAAGGGTTCACACTAACATAAGTCAATAGTATTTTTTACTGTCATTCATTTATAAGATTGCTACAGCACGCTAAAAACAGAATTTTTATCTTGTAGAAAATATTCCTTAAAATAGGCATTTTTTACGCAAAATTCAGCTGATCCTATTTAATTCTAAATCAATTTTTTAGAGTAAATGCTTTAAAACCTGTCATCTCTAGTTCATATAGAAGTGATTTCTTGGGGTGGTTTAAAAAAAAAAAAA